TTGTCATCGGAGCCAAGAATTAAATCTGCATCTTGTCAGCCTCTGACAAACGGAGGAAGAAAACGCAAAAGAAGAAGGAACAGCTGCTTGGATTCAGCATTTCTGGGGCTGAGGAATACAGATATAGCAAGAGCAAGTAAAGAACAAGTTATACAAAACAAAGGAAGAGACATCTAAGTAGATTGCTGGGGTTTCTGGTTTTGAAGTTTCTTCTTAACCCTGGTTAAACCAACTCCGCAAAGAGGAAGTGTTGAGGAAAATTCTACTTCTTGTGTTCTTCCCTCTAGAGCAATTGCCTGGATGTGTAAGAAATATGACAAGACTAAGACAGGAAGCAAGATAACACAATAAAGGGGGCAAAACAGCCTACTGCAGTTGAGACAGACATTTGTACAAGAAAATCTGAAGACAAACTATTTTTTTCATGCTTTTCTTATAGCTTGGAGTGGCAATGTATCTTCAAGCTCCACATTCTGCAATGTACAATCCCTACCATCTTCTGCCTCTGACTTATCCCATCCTTAACTGTTTGAAATTAAGTTGTGTCTCTACAAATAGAATTAAAAACCCTCCAGATGGACTCAGAACAGCATAGCTCTCTCCTAACATAAACACAAAGCTTTCTAAGAACCTGTGGCTTATGCTTTGATCCTAACTCACTGCTGGAATTAGGAGCAGCCAGATCAGAGATCAACACGGCAGAAGTAGAACAAGATGTCCTATCTCCCCCGTTGGGACTTGCCATACCTCCTTGTTGGTCTGGCTTGCTGAACTGCTGGCCAAGCACTTTGTCAGATAGTCAAGATCAAAGGTTGAAGTAAAGGGTTGATTAGATAATCTTAAAAACTTTTGGAAAAATAAAAGGTTTAACTATTTCAATACAGTCATCTCCTTAGGAGATTTAATTAGGACCCTTCAAGAAGGCAGAAGATTTGAGAACCCCATCTGGAAACATGTCAATATTTAAAGGATTTACACAGTTTAAAAATATTTTGGAGGTCTCATCAGCTGTAGGCTAGGACAGAAAATTGTTGTGTGATGTAGCAAGCCACGACAGACGGCTGTTTTATATGAGCAACTGTTTTGTAGAGTTAGCCATGGCCTTGGGTCACCTGTGAAATGAGAGCTCCTGTTAAAACCAGCAAGAATTTAGAGGAGCAAATAGGTCACAATCAGAAAAAGCACAAGAACAAAAGGACAGCTGCTCCTCCTCCTCCTCAAAAGCCGCAGGAATTAAGAGAGTAGGACTGGGCTTCAGATGGCTTTAAAAAGGCATGAGTAAAATTCACAACAGGGGAATGCCAGCGAGGCAAAGAGCAGGTCAACAGTTGTCTAGAAATAGCCATTGGAGTTTAGTTTGGAGTAACGTTGGACCAAAAGGCTGGGGTGCCAAGCTGACATTGCTAAGCTTAGATCCCTACAAAACAGTTTTGTTGCTGGAGAAAAGGGTCTGAAATTTCTACTGAAGGGAACTGAAACAGCAGATGCTTCGCAAACCTGACTCAGGCACACATCACCAGATCTGAAAGAGGGTGTCAGAGTAACTGGACACACCAGCACCTCTTGTCACTACCAGCTGGATATCATCACAGCCACATTTCTGCCATCAGCAACAACTAGCTCTACATCTGCTTCAGTGTCAAATCTGCCAGTTCAAACTGCTTTCAGCAGTAACTTCAACCAGCCTGACTTGGCTTCGATGCAGGTTAGCAATTTTATGTGTTACTCCCCAATAGCTCACCAGTACATTACCTCCTCACTGCTGACGACTTTCAAAGATGGAAAATGGTATCTTCCACCAACACAGTACTTGCAAAGCGGAGACAAATAGTTCAGTTTCAGCGACAATGCCAGTCAGGCAATTAAGCCACCTTTGAGTGCACCAGCTGGCTGCTCAGAGGAGCAAAGCACTGTTATAAGACAATAACACTTCATGGATTTAGAGTATTTTCCCTTAGAGACATTTCTAAAATACTTGCATGTATGAGTAGGTTAAGATTTCAACAAAATTACTGCAACCAGAAAATAAATTTAAATTGCACTTACAACAAGAAAAAAAAAAGCTTGCATCTTGCATTACAGACTGGTCTGTGGGCTGTTTATCAAAGTAATAAGGTCAATGTAAGCAGGCTGAAATTAAAACTAGTTTCAGCCTGAAGACACATGCCAGCATAGACTGACACTGATGGAAGAGAAGCAATAAGATTTTTAACTTTTACCCAGAAGAAATTCTCAAGTACAAAAGCCACAATCAGGCTACAGAATGGACATCAAAACAGATTTCATACGCCCTTACTGGGATGTACAAATCTCAGTCCATGATCTCTGAGTAGTTAGATGGAATTAAAGAGTTAGGCTGCTCCCTGGGTCATCCGTGTTGTCCCCCCCCTCCCGCCCTCTTTCTGGTTTATAAAAACAGCTCAAAGGTTTTTCACGTTGAGAAACTCTGATAATTGTTTTTCCCACTGGACAGATGACGACCACAAAACTAGCCACTTTATTACTGATAAGAAGTAAGCTGAAAGGAATGAGAAGCGGTTTTTAAAGTGTCTCTTGTTACATAAATTAATCAGCCTAAAACCAACTGGAAATAATCTCATTAAAAGTGAATGAAAAAGCTCTTCAGTCAGAAAGCTCCAATACACAAGTTTCTTCCCCCATCCTCAAGACCATCCTGTAGAATTTACCTACGAGCTCTAAAATGAGATTATTGAAGTACAGCCATGAAAAAAGGCATAAAGTGAAAACAACCAGAAAATACCTCTCAAGGTACCCTCCTGCATAAGAAGTCATTCTCAAAGTCTTTCTGTCCATTTTAGCACTTCCCCCAGCCCCTAAATGATTCATTTTAAGTGAGAAAATGTAACACTGTTCTCACAGAAACTTTTTTTTTTTTGGGGGGGGGGGAAATTACACTGCTACTGGTCCACCTTTTATTGTATGACCCTAGTCTTCAACACGTGCAGAGTGAGAAGCAGTGAGATTTCACAGCACTACTTTACTGTAAGTCCCCCACTTAATGCCAGAGCTGCAGAAGGGTCAATTACCAGTCTGTATAATGAAGATGACCATTCAAAGTGAGTACCACCAAGCGGCTGGTTCTGAAGTAATCATTATTTTTCCAGAAATTTTCCAGTGTGGTCTTTAGATTTGTGGTGACTTGATAATGTAACGACGGTCCATAAAGAGTCTGATTTTTTTTTTTTTTTTTCCAGCTTTACACAAGAAAACCACCCCCTACAAAAATGAGGACAAACGGAAACAACATTTGGAGTTTCAGGGATGAGCCCAATCCTGACTTGGTTCTGACAGAAAACCGCTGTGAAAGTGCTAGCTAAGGCAGCTGTGCATTTTCTTCAAAGAGGTTGTGTACCGTCCTGAAAAAGGCCAAGAACATTGCTGCTGCCTCTCCTGCACCCTTGAAAAGCCTTTTCCTCACGTTGTAGGAACTTTCCCATAGATACACTTCTTAGACACACAGCAAAACTGCTTGCACTACTTGCTTGGCAGGGGATTCTTTTCTACACAGAGCCATCATTAATGATCTGTTGCATGTCCCTCCAAGAAAAGGGGTGGTATTGCTTAATGACACATGAGCACAAGAGACATTAAAAACCTTTTAAGACAGACTTAAGTTGGCATGAAATTTGATTGCCCCTAAGAGAATGGCTAAAATTCTCTAAAGATGATCTTCAAAGACACGTTTTACAGTTATTGTCAAGCTCTTATGGAAAAAGCCAACAGGTTTAGCCAGATTTTTCCACATCATTTTCTGGCATTTTACAGTCCTCAGTATTAAGCCAAGAAGTTTTTTTAAAAAGCAAGAAAACAGGGGGTTTTTTTAAGCTTTCAATTCCTTTTCACTAGGGTGCCAGGAAAATCAAGTCTTCCTAAAGACAGGCCTGAGATTTAGCAACAGTCCTCTGTGTTATCATCCAGAACTTGATTCCATTTCTTGTCTCAACTGTAACTTAAACAGGGATCCTGGAAAATATGATGACATCAAATAAAGCATTACTGATAAGAAGTTTTCAAATTCAGCCTCTCAAAAAAGAAAAGCTGTTTGTCCAGTGTCTGAGAGAATAAGTCCAGAAAGGGGAAGTTTCCCTGGCTCTGTGTTAACTAGGCAGTAATTTGAAGTACTCACAGTTATTTTGTCAACTAGAACAAGCCAGCAAAGTAAACCAGGCTCTGAGGACTGACACTACACAAATCAAGCTGCACCCACACGGATGTTCCTCCCTTTTTAAGGTCATACACTGACATTATAGGAGTAGCTCTGCCCAAAATAAAGGTGATTTAAAGCTCCTCACAAGGGCAGCCAACATGTAAGTTAGTTAAAATCAGTAGAATGACTGGTTACCAACAAGCCATCAGCACCATACAGGCCTCCAAGCTGCAAGTGAGAAACAGGTCAAGGGACCAGCCTTGCAAAAGGAGCTGCACTTCTCACATTAAAGCCAGTGGTAATGGTTTGGCTCAGTGGAGTTAGTTGCACACTTCTCTAGTTCAAAAGCTTATCTAGGCTTACAGAGCAGGATGAAGAAACTTTTGTTGACACGACCCAAGAAGCACCATTTCAGATCCATCATTTGAGAAAAGGACAGTGAGATTTGTTTTCTAGAACTTTAGGATGGTTTCAACTACTACATCTGCATTTAAGTTTCTCTTGTCAATGTCTGAAGTCATACGCTCCAGTTTTCAACTACTCAAGCGAGTCATTCAGCAAACACACACAAAAAAACCTCTATGAAATACTGTCAAATATACAAAATAGGCGGGGGAAAAAAAGCTAGCAGTCATGTAGTTATAGTTAGGTGTTACTACTGATGTACGTAACGTAAGAGACTATTTCTGAGCTGGATGGGTTGAAGCTAAATATTGTTATTCAAATGTGTTAATGCACAAGTGGGAAGCTTAGGAGGTAAACAAGGGAAAGGGTATTACAGGAAGACAGCTTTTTATGTTGCCTTTTAGGGTAGAGAAATTGGACCACTCACCTCCACTAAGTAACTTCATCACCAGCCAAAGCTCATCTTTCACCACGAATGATGTGTAGTAAGATACAATGTTGGGGTGATGGCACTGACTCATGGCTTGAATTTCTTTCTGTAGAAAAAAAATAAAGCATTAGCAGTTGGACCCAGTGACTATTATTCCTCGGGCACAGAAGTTATGTTCCTCAAGACACAATGCTCAAAGAGGGTGCAAAGAAAAAGCAAATCATAGAAAATCCAGAAGTACTCCTAACACTCAGCCTGCATCATACTAGGGCCCAAAGGTATTTTAGGGTGCCCTTCCTGTCTATCTAGAAGAAAAAAAAAAAAAAGCTGACCAAAAACCCCTTGGCAAGGGCAACAAAAGCGATCGTAACCAAAACACCTGCATGCAGCTACAACAGAATATTCAATAAATTCACACCAGTTTGTTACCCAAGAAATTCATGCTGACTCCTTTCAGTGAGGCATTACACAACAGATGCTTAATCTGTTCAAGACTATCATGTGGATGAGAAAGGGAAATATTTGCCTCCAGGAAAAAAAAATGCCTCTTATTCCCAATGTTTCTTCCCAGCAGGAAAGCAGAGGGCTTAGCTCAATCAGGTTGAAGGCACAAAGGACAGCTGTATCTTTTGTCATACTGGAACAAGAAGGAAATCAGTTCAAGACTAGATAGTCATTAGGTACTACAGATGGAGTACAATATGCAATATGCTCAGATATTAAATTGTTTGCGTTTTGGCCGTGATTATTCTTAGATTTGGTTAAGGGTTGAGTTTTTTCCAGGTTATGGGAAGAACACCACCACAGAAAGCATTGACCAATTTTTTCGTTACACAAGGACAAAACACCAGTTTGGACAGAAAGCCTCGCAGTTTCTTGACAGTCCCTAGACAAAAGCCATCCATTAAGCCAAGCCTGGCACCCTGCACTACACCCAGCTGGGACTTCATGCTTCCGCCAAGCTGGTAGCTTCAGCTAAGCTCCTCAACCTTCCAGCATCGCCCACACCACTCATCCCCTGACATCCTGAACTTCTGCTCTCAACTAAGACATTCTTTCACTGAATACATGGATGCCACTTACTTTTCAAAGGTTTAATCACTGCTCACCATCAGCCCCCTCCCCACAACACAGACTCAGCCAAGCGCTGTAATCCCAAACACAGGGGGAAAGAGGAGAGCAAGGGCCCTTCGTACCCTGATCCTTTCCTCCCTCTGGGCACAAGAACTCCCTGGTACCAAAGCACACGAGAAAGCTCTGAGAAGAATTCACCCATATCTAGGACGCCCCACAGATGCAGCATATTCTTCTCCTGCCCATATACAAAGCTCTGCTTGTGACAGAGTATAGCGTAAAGGCACAATGCTCCCCCTTGGCAAGGGTTTAGCTGGCAATCACAGCTACAAAGAAACATGCTAATGTTGATTTATCCACTTTAAAACTGCTTTTTCAGGGAGCGAGTGCATTTGAGGAATCAAACGCAATTGCTTCCTCTTTCTGCTTCCCAAGAAGAGGCACCAACTTTCCAGGAAACTCCAATAAGCATATTAAAGAAGAACCCTTCTAAACAGGAAGGAATATTTGAAGAGTGGGGAGCAGGCCATTCATCTCAGTGTAGCATACTCGACTAAAAACCACTCGGTGGAAATAAATACAGCCTGAAACAATATCCTCTGCTTACTCTGACAGCTCCAGCTCCCTTCCTTGCAAACACTCGTGTCAAGCTCTTTTTGAAAAAGGAAATAAATCAGCACCTTTGGAGTTTTCTAATGCTTTCTAGTTAGGTTTCTTCGTAATGCAGTAAAACCCCTCAACAAAGCTGGCAACAAAAATATTCTTTTTACTCCCGTGTCAAATTTCAACCAAGGGACAGACAGGAACTGGGGCCCTGGATAACACACGTCAGATTCAGCGACTGGTTTCTGCCCTCTGTCACACTCCTTGCACAAAACCCAGCTGGCTGGGAAGCTCTGGGCCACTGCTGTAAACATAAGTGCAACACTTGATTTACACAACCTTTCCAAAACTCATTGAGCTCAGAGTTTCGAACTCATTTGCTTACCCTAGGATCATTTCAGACTTGCTCAGAGCACTGGACTGAGCCTAGTTAAGGGATCCATAAAACTGACACAGTCTTGGTCCCTGAGCTTGAAATTAGCATTTAGTCTAAAGCTTTAACTTAAAGATTTTTTTTTTCCTTTTAAACATGCAAGCAAATCTATGTGCTTAACTTCTCTGACAATTAAAAAACCACACACAGCACCAGAGGAAACACAGGTGGAAAGAAGCAAGTGGGACACTGTTTAACCGTCCCATCAGCCAGACCTGCCCCAAATCCACCATTCTCAGAAGCAATGCAGAGGATCTGTTTTTATCTTTTCTTAGCTAGACCGCCCAAAATATTTTGAACCAGCTCCCTGGGAGATCAAGAGAATAGTACAAGAAATAGAAACAAGTGTTGCATATTTTATGTATATTAGTGTATCCCACTGGAATTCAGGAGACCGTGAGACAAAGTCTGGACCAAGTTTACTTAAGAGCCTAGACCTGGATCAGATCTTTGCCATTCCAGCAGCTCTGTACTACAGCATTTTGCAGGCATTCCGTGACGCTTAGTTACTATTTTATTATTTTCCAAGAACTTCCTCTCCCGTCATTACCGCAGTCTGCTCCCCAGGCTGGGAAGCACAGTTTGGGGAAAAAAAAAAAAAATAAAAAAGCTCAAGTGTCATATGCTTTGGTGCACAAAGAGAGAAAATAAATAATCACAAACCTGATCTGTGCAATTACACACCTCTGTCAGCTAGTGGATGTGTAACACAGGCAGATTAAACCGTTCCTCACACAGCGTAGCTCTGAATAATTAATTGCATCGCAGCCCATGATTTTCCAGTGTTTTTACATATTACCAACAAGAGTGAGCAGCAGTCGGGCAGATTTTCCCTCTCACCCACAGACCCCCACCCCATTTTCAATAGGTTTCTAGGCTAATCTCACACTGGCTACATCAAAGCTTCATTCCCCTTCTCCCCCCCAGAGGGTACCAACATCCTGGAGGCTCAACACATACAATTGTTTTAACTGATTGTGGCAAATCACAGTGGGCTTTGCGGTTAAAACGCTTCCTCGCATAATTGAAGCCAAGCCAACTCTGTGGTACATACAGCAGTACAAATGCAAGGGCTCAAGAGCTGTAGTTAAAGGCAGGAATCACAGTCAAGGATCACCGGGGAGCTCTGCTTACAAGCATACTTAGAAGAAGAAGGGAGCAGAAGGGGATAAAACACAGCAACAGCCCTTCTGTGTGTAGTAAGCGCAGCTTTAATACTATTTCCAAAGTTTTTTAGAGAGTTTGCTGCTCTTCAAACACGATAAAGTCATAGCAGGCAAAGATATCCTCTCCCCACCTCCTGCCTAACAAGACTGCTATCCCCAAATTACAAAGAAATAACTGAATTACAACTGTGTTCCCCTCATTTTCACTGGCACTGAAAGTATATTGGAAGACTCCTAATAAAAATCTCATTGATTTCTACGCCTCTGTAATAATGTCAGTGCTAAACATCAGAATTTATTTGGGCTGCTGGAAATGTTGCTTTTTTCGCTTTCTGCCAACAGTCATGGGTCACTTGATACAGACCCCTGAAACCAGCCGCAGATCCAGGGGACGGTAGACAGCTCTTCCACCCAGTTGCTTACACACTAACACCCCCCACACTAGATGGCTTCAGTTACGAGACACAGCCTGCCTGCCAATTCCCAATTTCAGGATCCATAAATTACACTGCCTTCTGCTCAGCTATGGAGAATGAATTACCGATAAAACCACGTCTAGACACAGGCAATGGTTTGGAGATGGTTACATGCTCACCCTGGGCTAGATATTAAAAATATGTGCACTGTCAAATACCAAAAGCAAGTAAGACTGGGAGTAGCTATAAAGGCCTCCATGTCTTCCATTAAGGGTTCTGATGAATGCTTTCAGTACTTCTGTGGGCAATAAAAAAAAAAAGCATTTCAAGGCTTGTGAAACACTAATAAAACTGCTGTGAAGTATAATTTAGAATCGTAAGAAACCTATTAGTCTCCTGTAAGTCTTCTGGAGATCTGCTATTTTGGAAGTGGGTTTATTTGCCCACTGACATACAACTAAAGTTTGAGTTAATAGGAGCAGATACACAAAGTGAGCTACTGGTTGAACTTTCTTACTGGTATTTTCTGTGCACATCATCTTCTACACTTCGTGTTTATCTGTCCCTGAGGGACCTTTCAAAGACACTTGCTCTCAAATACAAGGATGCAAACCCTGCTTTATTTAGTTTTACTTCCTACACGTTGACATGAACTCAAGAGATACAACATGGCAGCAGTTTGCTTTTATGGGGCTACCTGCAACTTCAGAGGAATCCAGAAAGCTGTCAACTTGGCTATCCTGTTTGAAGGCAATCACGACTGTAAGAGAATTTGGGGAGGAAAGCACGCCTGGGGCAGAAAAATCAAAGCAGGTCAGATGTGATCTCCCCCTTGAATAAATCAATGCTCTAACCGTGGCGGGCAAAGAACTTATCTCTCAGCTGAAATCTCAAGGTATAAGGCATTAAAGCTCTTCTTCATCCTCTTAAAGCAGGATTTAGAGCTCCCGTCCTACAGGCAGCCATAACTGTTAAATTTTTGCTCCAAGGGAAGTTCTAGTGGTTTAACAAAAAGGCTGTAAAATTGAGAATATTCATTCACGTTTTTAAACGTCAGCACAGAAAAAACCCTGTTCCCCTGCCGCAATCACCTTGAGAGGCACAATTCTCAAAGGGATAAAAAGTCATCATCCACAAATTAGTCCTAAGTGATGGGAAAAAACCACCCCTGTGGCAAGTCACTCTGCAGTTGCTCATTTCAACATCTATCCTTTCAGCATCATTCAGTGGTCGTTCCCTCTTTCAAGGCCTGCAGTATTAGTGACCACATACTGGAGGAAGCGGATGTTTAAAATTGCTATGATGGAGCAATTCATACATGCCCATTTTTTTTCTTGGTTTCAACCACAAAGCAAATAGGCAAGTGACTGACTTATCTCACACGTACAAGCTCAGCCAGGTTTACCCACTTCAC